AATTTATAATAACAAATTTAGTACATTTATGTGAGCATAATTTTCGGTTTACTTTTCTTTTGTTTGAAGATGTGATTATTGCATCAAGTAATGTAAATGTATGCTTATTGTTAAAGAGGAACATTCGATAATTTATTTTTATATGTTAAAATGATAAATTAAAATATTTATTCATTGATTAGTAATCAAACTTTATTAATATGTATTTATTTATTCAATCGATGCACAAAATTCTTTTTCTAATTATTAATATAGTTTTAAATTAGAGCAAATTCAAAAGGAATTCAAAAAAATTATTTTGAATAATTTCATAGTGTTATTGCACAAAAATCTTTGGAAACTTTAGAAAATTCCAATAGACAAATATTCACATAAAATGAGGCGGTAAGGATTTATAATTAAAGCATCATTTTTGTTAATTTCTACAACTTTCTCATTTATAAAGTAATGATCAAAAGATTAATTGGCATAGAACGGATGATTGCTTCGTATTATCACCATACCCGCATTATCACTATTCTCGCATTATCACATCTCCCAGATTATGATATTATATGAGTGATTGTCCTGTCTTTTATCACTATTTATTACCATAATTACCTTATGATTATTAGTTAATTAAAGTATAAATCGCAAAAATTTTAATGATTTCAATTAGAATGATTTGACAGTTATTTCATTTGCACTCATTCATTTGAAGAGATAAAAGTATCAATGAGCTGAAACCGTGGAATTGAATAAAAAATGGATTTTAAATTTCCGCGATAAAGTAATTTTCGTAGCAAAAAAATAACCATAAATTGTCCATCATTTCTTTTTTAATTTATTCATTTCTAATATTTTTGTTACTGTTTTATAATAGATACAAGATGATATCCAAATGAAATAATTCGATTATCAATGAAATTATTGTAAACTGTAGAAAAAATAGACATTAAAAGTAATCGAATCAGTGATTATTCGAAATTTTCAACCTCTATTCTTTCAAATACTACGACCTTAAATTAGCCTAAAATCATTATAGGTGACATTAAATTAACCAATATAAAATAAAATTTAAATAGAAATAATTTCTTTAAAATCAAAAATTAGATGGAAATGTTAGATGGAAAAGTGAACAATTGAAATATATTTCATTGTGCGATAAACATTGGTGCAAACAAATAATTTCTGCATAAAAATATTCATCATAAAATCAAAAAAAAAAAAAATTTTTTTTCTGCTCGACCAAAATATTAACAATTTTTCGAAGATTGAAGTTATAATAATTTTAAATTCAATTGACTGTTAAATTATTTCACTGCTCATTCTTTTTCTCGTTCAAAATTTTTGCTTTTTGTTTGAAGAGAAACAGTCATTCTGTTGTTATATTAGATGGAATAACATTTTTTATTGAAAAGCAACAAATAATTCACTTTCTCATTCCTTTCCGAAAGATTTTTAGTAATTTTTCTGTTATATGCTTTGTTTTGAATACCTAATCTCGAATGTAAAATTTATTTTGAAGAAAAAAATTTTTCAATTATATGAAATTTTTAAAGCATCATAAGAATGCGCTTTTTTATTTGAGAATTTCAATTGCTCACTTAATTTTCTTTCCTTAATTTTTTACCGTTTTTCTTTGACTTTTTTTTTTGTTTCAAATGAATCAAAAAAAAAAACGAAATAATTTCATAGGATTTCAATTCCCATTATTTTTTTCTTATTGAAATATCTCGAGCAATGAAAATATTACTTTAAAAAGAAAATTATAGAGTTTTATTTTAAAAATATTCCATTAAAAAAATAATTATAAGAATTCATATTTGAAAATAAAAGTTAAGACTTGACGTATTATAATGAATTTAATTAAATAATACATTTCACAAATAAAAATACAATGATACACTTTTTAAAGAAAAGTCAAAAACAAATTTAAAAAGTATTTAAATGAACTATAAGTGGAAGTAAAAGTGGAAATTAAAAAGCAATTTGAGTGAATAATACAATTTTAGGGATAAATTAACTTTGCTTAAAAACATTTGCACGAAACTTTTGACAGATTTTTTTTTTTGCTAATCCAACTGTTTCAGTTGCTCATTTCATCTTTTTTTTCGTTCTTCTGTTTTTTCTCGACTTTTTCTTGTTTGTCACTTCTTTTTTTCCCAGTCCTTCCACTATTTATTTTGCCTTTATTTTTCACCTTTTGTTTTTCACAATAAATTCCAATTTCCCCCTTAGGTTTAACTGAACCTAATTTACTTGAAGAATCAAAAATTGCGGATGATCTTTTTGAATATTCGAATAGAACAGTGTCTGAATATCGATTAACAATCACGGGCAATTTTTTGATTATCAAATGATAAAAATGATAAAGCAATCTTATTACAATGTTTGAAATTTTGAAACTTCTGAATGAACTCTGTAAACATTTGAACTTTCTATTTGTTTTCACCATAAACTCATGTATTAGAATAGAAGGTATTGCCATTATAATTGTCAATTTCGCCAGATAAAAAATTAGTTAATATCTGTATTTCAGGATGGTAACACTAACTTTGGCAAATGTAAACATGAGATGACCTCAATCGATCTGATCCCCTTTTAAAAATTTTTTTAAATACTTTTAATAAAATCATTTTTTCTCAGTTTATTCACAAAATTTTGATTGATATGTGACAGTTAATAAAAGAACTAAACATCCCAAGCATTCCAACTTTTCGAATGCAAATTGAAATGTTGCATTTTTTTTTTTAAATTTTAATTCCAAAGAAATAACATGCAAACAACTCTTCAATATCCATATAAAATGATAATATTATCACTAAAAGGAATAACATTCATTCTTCTTCTTCTCAAAAACTATTCGCCTTGTTTGTGTTCATTTGAACAAATTGATAAATTATGTGATAATAATTAATAGTGTTTGGAAAACTTTATGTTGAAATGAGAGAGAGAGAGAAAAAAGAAAGATAAAAAGTTATTTAAATTCATTATATGTAAGCGAACCGAACTGATTTAACTGCATTATGCTTTATGGAAAATAATAAAATTTTTAAAATCTAAATCTTACACTGTGCATTTTTGGTTTTTTTTTTGTTTTAAAGCAGTAAAAAAGCACAAATGAATATAAAAATTTTTTGTATAACAATTCGCATATGTAAAATTAAATATATGCTGAACAGGTATTTCAAAGTTTACCATTTAATTCTCTGTTTTTTTTTTTCTTGACTACAATATTATAGCTATCATATATGCTTAATAATAAATGTCAAGAAAAAAAAAAGCCATTCAATCCTTTCAAATTGATCTACAAAAATAAATAGCTAAATTTGTATCATTCTTAACTCTATCATTTATATAATTCTACAGGTAATACACCTTTACATGAGATGAAAGTTTATTTTTTTTTCTCGAAATTATGATTTACATCATATTCATTCCAAGTGCACATTTTACGAGAACATTCATCATTAGCTGTTGGTACTAATGTTGTGGCACAGAAAAATTGCACCGATGAGCTGGAACCGCGGAATCGAATTGGAAGTGGATTGTAAATTCCAGCGGTAAAATCATCTTCGTACTAAAAAAAAAAAAAACGATTTGTTTTTTTTCAACCATTTCTTTTAATTTACTCATTTCCAATATTTTTATCTTTTCGTTTTGTTAGTTTAATGAATTTTGATACATGTGCATAATTTTTTCAGTTTTTTTAACTTTTTTCTTTTTTTTTAAAAAGCAACAACTTAAATTATTTGCACATTAAATTTAATTATTAATGAATACAAATAAATTTTGCTGCAGCAAAATTTATTGTATTATTAAAATTCAGAGATTTTAAAATTGGGATAGTAATTAATTAAATGGCAATCAATCATTTCTTTGACCCTTACAGATTCTTGACCTTAGACCGGTTAATTTCCATTTTTGATTATGAATTTACTCTCTCGTATCCAAATTAAATTAAAGAAAAAAAAACTTCATAATTAATTTTATTGGATTTTACTTATTTTTTATCTATAAGAAGAATGTTTGCTAAAATTTGCATAACTTACCTGCACATGCTCGAACAAACTTGGTTCTAAAGTACAACCATTTTCATTGATGATACGATATGGTTCTATACTTTCCCTATCACTTTTCACTGTACAATTTGCAACATGTAGGCAGTAACCCTTTTCTTTTTCACATTTTATTTTATAGTATAGTTCTGAGTTCAAATTTGTACCTAAAAAATAAAATATTAGATTTTTTAATTATAAAAGTTTGTTGTAATAAATTCACTAAATAAAGCATCGGATCTTTTTTTTGGATCGAAAAAATTTTTACAGTAATTTGCATTAAAATTGATGACAAAATTTCTGCCATAAATTTTTTGAACTTGAACTAATTTAATGAAAGTTTACACATAAATTTAATTTACTTTTCAAAATTCAACATTTTAATTAATTATACTGGTATTTTTGAAGTATTTAGGTCCTCAATAAAATAATCAAAAGTCCCTCTAACTTTTTCGCATTTTACTGCAATTTAGAAAGTTCAAATTTGAGAATTGAAAATTTTTATAAAGATATACTTATTAAAATAAATTTAAATGCTAGCCGCTAACCCGAAATTTCTTCACCGTTCGGTCCACCGTTATGTACAGAGAATTTACAATTCGTTTGCGGAATATGAACTTTTTTGATCGATTTTTCCGGAATTTTTGCAGCTAACATAAGTACAAATAAATATGAAAGCATGCATAGTATCGATGAAGTCATTCGTCTGCAAATTAGAAACATAATTAATTTGAATTACATCATTATCATAACATTCTTCAAGTCTCTCTCTTTCTCCTTCTTTCTCTATCTCTCTGTGTATCCCTTTCAATATATCAGCACAAAAAATATTAGCACTTTTTTCCCCTTTTTTTTAAACATGCTTATAATAGCTTAATTCTGTTGATCTAATTTCAGGAAAACTTTTTTTTGCCACACTAAATTCATAAAATGAAACTAAAGTTGACTAAATTAGAATTATTTAATCCATCTGCGTTTTGCTTAAGAATAAAAGGTATTAATTCTCGAAATTTAAATTGTTTTTATTAATATCGAGGAAAATTTGGCAATAATAATAACAATGACAATAACATCTTATTTTTAAATGTGATAAATTTATTTTAATTTCTTTGAATTTTCATTTGATAAGAAAAAATTCACTGAAAAATTTAAAAAATTGTTCAATGCGAAAAAATATTACATGAATTCTTAATGATTGATACATATGCTTCAAAATTATTCTCTCAAATTTATGAAATGAAATTTGTTCAACAGCAACAACAACAAAAAAAAAAAAACAAAGCAAGCAGTGTTCATTCATATTAATAGAAGTGCAATATGAAGAGAAAAAAACGATCAATTGATAATATCGTTAATTAAGTTTTAAATTTTAAGACGATTTATCGAATTTTCATCAATTTCAATAAACTGATAATTAAATTTTTGTGACAAAAATTTGAATGAAGAATAGTTAAGAAGACATTTTAATTTAAGATATGATAAAAGAAAGTGAGGATTTGAGAAATTCGGCAGCTGTTTGGATATTCAAAGAGGATGCAAAAATAATCCGGAATTATTTTAGGTCATTGGGTCATACATCTCTTCTTGCTGATATCTGCCAAAATGTCCGTCTATTCGTTTCTTTTTTTTTCATCATAGTATTTCTGTTTTATTTTTTGTTTTTTCTTAACATTAAGAATCATTCTCGATGAAAAATATTTGAGATACAGTGATATTTGTCCTGCTTTTTTTTGGATAATTGATCAATAACTAATTCTTTTTATTAATATTACAATACATTTAT